AGTCTGGCTAAAGGTTTGACAATTTTGTTAAACTTTTCAAGAAACCAACTTTTTGTTTCATTAATTTTTTTATATTGTTTTCTTCAGTTCAAATTCATTTATTTCTGCTCTGATCTTTATTATTTTTTCTTCTACTAATTTTGAGTTAGGTTTGATCTTACTTTTCTGGTTTTTAAAGATGCATTGCTAGGTTGTTTATTTGAAACTTTTCTTCTGCTTTGATGTATGTATTTATAGCTATAAACATTCCTCTTTGTACTGCTTTTGCTGTATCCCACAGGTTTTGGTACATTGTGTTTTCATTATCATTTGTTTCAATACTTTTTTTGATTTTTTCTAAATTTCTTCATTGGCCTACTGTTCATTCAGGAGCACATTGTTTAATTTTTATCTATTTGTATAGTTTGCAAAAATCCTCTTGTTATTTTTGTTTTTTTATTCCACTGTGGTCAGAGAAGATGCTTGACATTATTTTAAATTTTTTAATGTTTTCAGACTTGTTTTGTGGCCTAACAAATGGTCTTTCCTTGAGAATGATCCATGTGCTGAGAAAAAGAACATGTATTCTGCAGCCATTGGATTAAATATTCTGTAAATATCTATTAGGTTCATTTGGTCTATAGTGCAGATTAAGTCTGATGTTTCCTTGTTGATTTTCTGTCTGGAATATCTGCCCAGTGATGAAAGTAGGTTGTTGAAGTGTGCAGCTATTATTGTATGGGGATTTATCTCACTCTTTCACATCTAACAATATTTGCTTTATATAACTGGTTGCTCCAGTGTTGTGTGCAAATTCATTTATAATTGTTATGTCCTCTTGCTGAATTGATTGCTTGATTATTGTACAGTGACCTTCTCTCTCTTCTTACAGTTTTTGTCCTGGAGTCTGTTTTGTCTGATATAAGTATAGCTACTCCTGCTTTTTGTTTTTGGCTTGTTTGTTTCCATTGGCATGGAATGTCTTTTTCATCACTTTATTTTTAGTGTACGTGTGTCTTTATAGGTGAAGTGTGTTTTTGTAGGCAACAGATCACTGGGTCTCGTTTTTCATCCATTCAGCCATTCTATGTCTCTTGATTGGAGAGTTTAGTCTGTTTACATTCAATGTTATAATTGAGAAGTAAAGACTTACTCCTGGCATTTTGCTATTTGTTTTCTGGTTTGTTGTGGTCTTCTCTTCCTTCTTTCCTTCCTTTCTATATTCCTTTTAGTGAAGATAATTTTCTCTGGTAGTATGATTTAATTTCTTGATTTTTATTTTTGGTGTATTTGTTGTGTTTATTTTTATTTCAGGTTACCATGAGACTTTCAAATACTATCTTATAAAACATTATTTTAAGCTGATAACAGTTTAACAGTCTTTGCATAAAAAACAAATATGCAAAAAGAAAACTAATACAAACTCTACACCTTAACTTCATTTTCCTGCTTTTTAACTTTTTGTTGTAGAAACAACAAAATTTTATTGTACTATGCCTTGAAAAGTTGTTATAGTTATTATTTTTGATTGGTTCATCTTTTAGCCTTTCTACTTAAAAGTAGTTTATACACTATAGTTACAGTGTTATAATATTCTGTATTTTTTTCTGCGTACCACTGAGTTTTTTTATCTTCACACGATTCCTTATTACTCATTAAAGTCCTTTCTTTCTGGCCGGGTGCGGTGGCTCAAGCCTGTAATCCCAGCACTTTGGGAGGCCGAGACGGGCGGATCACGAGGTCAGGAGATCGAGACCATCCTGGCTAACACGGTGAAACCCCGTCTCTACTAAAAAAAATACAAAAAACTAGCCGGGCGAGGTGGCGGGCACCTGTATTCCCAGCTACTCGGGAGGCTGAGGCAGGAGAATGGCCTGAACCCGGGAAGTGGAGCTTGCAGTGAGCTGAGATCTGGCCACTGCACTCCAGCCTGGGTGACAGAGCGAGACTCCGTCTCAAAAAAAAAAAAAAAAAAAAAAAAAAAAAGTCCTTTCTTTCTGATTGAAATACTCTCTTTAGAATTTCTTGTAGGAAAGGTCTGATATGAATGAAATTTCTTAGTTTTAGTTTGTCTTGGAAAGTCTTTATTTCTCATTCATGTTTGATGGATATTTTCACCAGATATACTATTCTAGGGTAAATGTTTTTGAGCACTTTAAATATGTTATGCTACTCTCTCCTGGCCTGTGAGGCAGCAAGTTCTCTTCTGGCCCAGGGTGTGTCTAGATATGTTGTCTGGGAACTAGAGCCTGGAACGGGGACCTCAAAACTCTGCCTGGTACCCTATCCTACTGTGGCTGAACAAGTATCCAAGATGCAAGAGAAAATCTCTTTGCTCTTTCCTCTCCTCTCCTCAAGCAGAAGGAAGGACTTTTTTGGAGCCATAAGCTATGCAGACTAGGATTGGGGCAGGGGAGGCATAAGCACTCCCTTAGCCACCATTTCTGGTATCTCAGTAGGTTGCGTGCCCCCTCAAACTGGCTTTGAGTGTAGCTCAGCAATAGAATTCTCCTAGGAGTTGAAATTCTTGTGGCCTAGACTGCCTTTCAAATTTATTCAGAGCCCCATAGCACTTTAGGTTGTGGTGGCATGGCTTGCCAGAGCTCAAGGTTCAACCACTGGGATGGGTAATTTCCTTCTGGCTAGGCCCAGTCCAAATGCTCCTCCTGTGGATGGGCATTAGCTAACTACAGCTCAGTTCTGCTTTCTGCTGTGACAGGGCAGAACCGAGTTCAATGCAAAGTCTCACAGTCATTGTATTCTTCTTCCACAAGTGCACAGGTTCTCCATATCACACAGCCACAGGGGTTAGGGGGAGGGGTGACTTTAGTAATGCAAGACTACTTTTTCTCCCCTTCTCAGTGCCTCTTTCATCAACACGAAGTTAAAACCAGGTACTGTAAGTGCTCATCTGATTTTTTGTTCTTATGAAGGTGCTTTTCTTGTGTACATAGTTGTTAAAATTTGGTGTTCCTACATGGTGGGGACAATCAGTGCAGTCTCCTATTCTGCCATCTTGCTCCACTCCTGGACTTTTCTTTTAAGAGTACTAATCCCATTCGCAAGCACTCCAATGTCATGACCCAATTACTTCCCAAAGGCCTTCCTTCTAAATACCACCATGTCACAGGTTAGAATTTTAAAATAAGAATTTTGGGGATACACACACACATGTGCACACACACACACATATATATATATATATACACACACACACAGATGTACATTTATAGTCAAAATTTATTATTCACAGTTTCTATATTTACAAATTCACCTACTTGCTGAAATTTATTTATTTGTAACCCAAAATAAATGCTTGGGGCACTTTTGAGGTTATTCACAGACATGAGCAGAGTGAAAAAAATTTGACTTGTTCAATACACATGTGCCCAGCTGAGGTTAAACAAGGAAGCACTCTGCCTTTTTGTTTCATGTCTAATAGTGTAAACAAGGGTCCTTCTATAGTCTACTTATTGCCATGGTTTTTGCTCTTGTGTGCTTCTTGTTAGTGATTTCACCATTTAAAATGCCCCTGAAGTGTAGTCCCAAAGTGCTGACTAGTATTCCTAAGCACAGGAAGGCTGCAATGAACCTCATGGAAAATATATCTGTGCTTGATAAGCTTAATTCACATATGGCCTATAGTGCTGTAGGTCATAAGTTCAATGTTCATGAACCAACATTTATTTACTCAGCAGTTCTTCAGTCAACCTTTAAGCAAAGATATCTTTAAACAGAAACATTCATAAAACAAAGTTATATATTGATCTGTTGATAAAAGTGTGATCAGAGACTTATAGGAACCTCTTCCTGTCTTTTCTCTAGGAAGAATGTGTCAGTATTTGCTAATTCCATGCTCACAGCATTTTTTTAAACATAATTCCATGAATATTGAGAATTAACAGCATAGATTACATCCATAGATGTATAGTAATTCTATAAGTTGAAAGGAAGTTTCTATCTATCTGTCTACCTATTTATTCATACATTTATCTGACATCAGGTGTGGGATATTTCATATTAATAGAAGTCAAGCACATATTTCTGCAAAATTAAAAATCACTGAGCCCTAAGAACTAGCATAGACTTAGCATAAGCCTTAGCCAGTTTTGTGTTTCCATGTGTGTGCTATTTTTATTTTTAAAATGCATTACTTGGCTGTATGCTTTACTGCCCTCCTTCTTTTCTCCCCATATCTGGTATCTTAGCCGAATATGTCTGACTGCATATCGTTGCCTCACACCCATAGGGTGTTTTGTTTTGAGACAGAGTCTCACTCTGTCACCCAGACTGGAGTGCAGTGGCACCATCTCAGCTCACTGCAACCTCTGCCTCCTGAGTTCAAGCGCTTCTCGTGCCTCAGCCTCCCAAGTAGCTAGGATTACAGGCATGTGCCACCACGCCCAGCTAATTTTTGTATTTTTAATAGAGACAAGGTATCACCATGTTGGCCAGTCTGGTCTCGAACTCCTGACCTCAAGTGATCCTCACACCTCAGCCTTCCAAATTGCTAGGACTACAGGTGTGAGCTACTGCAGCCACCACCCACAGGGTTTTTCACCTTTATGCTTAGCTCCTATTATTCTTTTTACATCAACTACTTGGCTCTCTTTACATGCACAGACCTGAACTATTTTCCTTGACGTATTCCCCCATTCTCACTTCCCTACCTCTGGACAGCTATAATCTCTCACTTCTTTAAATACTATGGTCTCTTCATCTCTGTGGCAGTAGCATATTGTACATTTGATTTTGATGATTTGGGTACTCGTCTCACTCATTTTGTATTTTCCACTTTGCCTAACCCAAGACCTTGAACTTATTCAATATATGTTTACAGAATAAAAATATTTAGTTCTCAACAATTTTAGGTCACAAACCTCTTTAAAAATGATTAAAGCTTATTCTCAGAAAAAAATGCAATTTAAAAGTTACACTACATTTCTGAGTATTTGAAGCTCTCTTCTCCATCACCGCCACCTCTCAAAGTCCACGAAGTCTTTGTTAAAAACTTCTTATTTATTTCAGTCTCCTGAGAATGACAGTGGAAAGTTGATGTTCGCAGAAGTCAAGTAACATGTCTCAGGCTAGTGGAAAAGGTAAGACTGTTGCTAACATTTTACAATTTTCATGATAGAGGGTTTTCTGTGTGGGTGACTTATTCTTGACCATAATAATGTTCTCCTGTTTTTTCTAAATGAGAAGACAGACAACTAAAGGTAACTTTGTTAACTCTTAACTACAGACGACTGTGCTGGTGGATGCTGTTAAAGTCAACAAGGAAAAAAGTATCATGTAGAGTCAATAGAAAGCAGTGGACAGAGAAGCAGGAAATTGATTACAACCCCTCAAATCTGTCATTTACCATTTCTGGGTCTCTACCTCAGCCAAAAGGTTTTGGGGGAATAAAGAGTCTAATGACCCCAGGGAATTGACATGTGTTCTTCAGAGGAGGTCAGTAATCAGACACTAGTCTAGTTGGTTTCATCCTGCAGCAGAAAGTCAGTTAAAGTAATTAGTCTCAACATCCCGGGGGTGCTGACTCATTTCCACTTCCTTTAGAGGAGCCACTCAAACTCTGTCCACCTTGTTTCTCCATAGAAATATGATAAAGATCAGTTCTCTGGAAGCATTCATATTTCAAGAAGCTCTGTATGATATGCATTAAGGTAAGTATTCCTAATCCTTGTCTGCAGGGTTATAGAAGTTTGGACTGTACTTTGCTGTTTTTAAGCCTGTAGCCAGACTAAATTCACTGTTTTTCCTTAACTCAGCATACCAGATGACCCTTGGTTGTAGCTATAACCAATCCTTTCTCAAGGACAAAATCACACCTGCCTCTCTTTTCCTTTCCAGGCTCTGAGCTAAAGTCTTGGCATCTTTCTTGAATGCCCTCCAAGGAGTAGTCCAAAAAGATACCCAAACTCAGATTTTATGGAAATAAGATGTTTCCTGTAATACCTTTTATCTTGGCTTTAACAGTATGCATTTAAAAAAAATATTGACTTAAATTTATGTGCATGTTTATGTTACTACTCACTGATGACCTGCTTGATTGGATTAGACAAGTTTTTTTCCAGTTGGTTTGAGGTACTAGAATTTCAGGAAGTCTTCAGTTTCTTTTTCTTTTTTTTTTTTTTCCAGTAGCAGAAATTTTGGGTCAAAATGTCTAGGCTCTGTAGTGCTTGGTGCTGTAGAAATTAAGACATTTAGATATTCTGGATGACCCAACTTTAATTGTGATAAAATATATGTTAGATATATTTTATTGGCTTTTTTTTCTTATCTACTGAATTTTATTTTAAATTTTTAATACAAAATCTCCTCTATTGATTGAGAATATACAAAATTACATTTTTTATTGGATTGAGTTTGAAATATATTCTGATAAAAAGCAGAATTTAAATGTTGTAAGTTGCCAAAAAAGGGTAGAATCACAACTTGATAATAAAGCTAAATATACATTTAGAAATCAAAACATTAAAAAGTTAAGAATAAATAGAAGTTTTTTTGGTCTTCTGTTTTCTTCCTTTGAAGTATAAAACACTTCACAAGTGCATTGCTATAGTAAACATTTAAACCTTATAAAAGTATATAGATAAAAATAGCAACGTTTTCTTTTTCTTTCAAATATCACTCAGTTCTCTAATTTTAACCAGTGGGTGATATTAACATTTTCAAAGGCTAAAAATAAATAATACTTAGAGTAAAGGCAAGAATACATTTTCTAATAGGAAGAAAAGTGATTTTAAATAAAAAATATGTTGAAATCAATGAAAGAATATTTAAAGCATGAAGATAAGGGATAAACATTAACAAGTAACTAATAAAAGAAAAGAAAATATTAAAACTTAGAAGTCATTAGAATTTATGCAAAAAAAATATACACTAGAAGATATATAAATTGATAGATAATATTCTGATTATATATTTTTGTGAAATACATAATTATATATAATAATAATATATATATCTCTATACTTTAAAACCTGGTGACTTAAGCAAAACCAATGTACTACATCTCACAAATTCTAGGGTTATGAATTTGGGCAAGGTTTAGTTGGCAATTCCTTTGTTCCACATGGCATTAATAGGAGTTTCTTGGTATTCATCTGATTCCGAGCTGTTCAGGAAGGTCAATGTCAGACTCAATGATACCCAGTATTTTGATAGGGATTACTGGAAGGCTGGGTTCAACTGGATCCCCCCCTTTCCATATAGTTTCAATACCTCTCTATATAGTCTTTCTGGAAGAGTAATTGGACCTCTTGTATGACTGCTTAGGGCTCAAGAGAATATGGGGGCAGGCCCGGAACTGGCATAGTGTCAGTTCCACATTCTGTTGGTCAAAGCAGTTGTAATCAGACCCAGATTCCAGAGGAGGGTGAATAGATATCACGCCTAGATGGGAGAAGTTTCAAAGAATTTGTGGCCATCTATAATCTGCCACAGATGGTAAAGTCAATGTGTAAAGTATGGCAAGAATGTAGAAAAAAACAAAAGCAGATGAGCAAATGAAATGAAAATCTTCCATCAAAGTAGAACCAAGAGCAGTTTAAAAATAGAATATCTATATTGTCAATAACAATAAGGAGCTCCAATTCATCAAACAAACAAAACTATAACTTAAACTAGTCAAGTGGCATGGATCCTCAGTAGAACTAACTGAGGAGAAACAACATGGCAAGGCCAAAAACCCAGGACCTTTTGTTTGTTTTTTATATGAGGGCGCATTATTGTATTATTTATCTATTGTTACCCAATAAAAGAACTGCCACCACCCAACCACACACACACACACACACACACACACAAGTCTTACCATCTTGCAGTTTTTGTGAGTCAAGAATCTGGCAGCAGTTTAGCTATGTGGTACTGGCTCAAGATTTCTCAAGAAGTTTCAGTAAAGACTGCCAGCAGGGTTGCAGTGTCATCTGAAGGCATGACTGGGGAGGGTCGCTTCCAAGATGACTCATGCAGTTCTTGGCAGGAGGTTTCTGTTTCTGGCTACATAGGCCTGATCATAGAACTGCTCATGACACAGCTTCCCCCCAGAGTGGGTGATCCAAGGGCAAGAAGGTGCTCATCTAAATAAGATGATGCAATATTTCTACAATCTGATTTTGGAAATGACATATCATCACTTCTCCTGAATGCTATTGGTTACAGAGAGTGACCCTCATCCAAAATAAGAAGGGGGTAAACCAGGGTGCAAATACCAGGAGGCATGAATTATTGGGACCTCTGGAAGGCATGTAGAGGAGTATCCAAAGAGTAAGGGAAACCTTTGCCTTCACTCTTATGTCACATCTGAAAACTTACATCTTTTGCAAAAAATAATGATTTTTTTTCTACATTTTTACCTTAAAAGATGCAATCCCTCTTGGAAAAGAAAGGCACAGGGGCTCTTAAGACAGACTGTGCAGACACAAATTCTTTGTTCTATGCCAGCTTCATGGTTATGGTTAACTGCAATCTACAAGTGCCCACTGCAAATACTATCCTAAGAGAACAAAGGACTGGTAAATATCCAATGGCTTGCTCTTTATGAAGATAAAAGTATAACAAAACTTGCAGTGCATTGCAAATGTGTTTTGGAAGATAATTTCATTATGGCCATAAAAAGTATACAAAGTAGGTTTAGGTAATGCTTTTCACTCATAGCAAAAGTACCAGGTAACAAAAGATATAAAAGAAAATGGGGTATGTATCGCATCAATATTTAGGTCTGGAAGTAAGATTTAAAGGTCAGCTAGCCTGATACTTTTCAATTTGTTGACTTTGCTGAGTTATTTTAAATTGTTAATTTGTATACTATGAAATTTTCTTTCTGGAATACAGTTCTATGGCTTTTGACAAATGCATAGAGCCATGTATCTACCACGATACTTGTGATATGTAACAGTTCCATCACTCCCAAACTTTTTTGTGTGTGGTCTCTTTGTTGTTAGCCCTTTCCATCCCCCAAACCCTAGCAACCATTAATCTTCTATCTATCCCTGGAGTTTTACCTTTTCCAGAACATGCTGTAAATGAAATAATAGAATATGTAGTGTATTGTGGCTGGCTTCTTCTACTTTACAAAAAAATTGAGATTCTTCCATTTGTTGAATAGATCAATAGTTAGTATCTGTTTGCTTTTATTTTATGTCAAATAAAATAAGTTCTGGCCTTCTGATCTCTTTTGCACTTCATTGTCACTAAAGTAGTTTTTGATTTGGCTTTTTCCCCCAATTTTGGTCTTGGTCTGTTTGTGGGTTAAAACACCTTGGTTCTGTTCAGGACTTTGGGTAACCTATGTTCTTAATAGTTGTACTAAAGGGAGAGATGAATAACTATTGTCCTGTAAATGATCCAATATATGTTTTTGTGTCAGATCCACATTTTGTTGGTCAGGTGATGCAACAATAATGTTACATTAAAAAACCACTCTAAAAACAAGTGGCTTACAGAAATTGCGTTCTTTCTTATGCTCCAGGATCTGTGGATTAGCTGGGGTTTGGCTGATCTAAAGTCAATTCAGCTAGGTGGCCCTGCTTCAGGCTGAGGATTGGATGTTTTTTTCCAGGCTGTGGGTTGGATATAGTTCTGTCCCTTTATGTTTTCTTCGGTTTTCCTTTCTAGTCTGAAATAAGTGGCTGTCTGGGACATATTCTACTCATGTCGGATCATTAGAGCCCAAAAGTCAAGCCAAGTCATGCAAACATGTGAGGACTGTGCTTACATTGTGTCTCCTAACATTCCGCTGGCTAATACAGGTCTCGTGGCCAAGTCTAATATCAGTGGTGCAGGCAGAAATGCTCTAAGCAAAGTGTGAAGGAGAGGTAGAATGAACTTTTATTGAACAATAATCCTAACTACTGTCTGTGCTCAGCAGTGTATCTAATTGAATTGACACAAGATAAATCAGAATTTTGTATTTTCCCAGACCTAATATTTATTTGATAGGTCATGAGGCAAGTTCCTGACTCAAGACTGAAACATTACACAATTATTCCAAGTTTTTGTTTGACTCATTGGCTACCTCACTTCAACACATTGACTTGAAGCAGACACAACGGGGCAGTGAAACTAAGAGTTCAATCCTGAAACCAGTGTCTTTGAGAACCATCATTACATATGTACCGGACTTTCATAGGCTGCCTGATGCCAGTTTAGGTGCTGTGATGTTATATAATTTAGATTGGGAATTATTACTTCTTTTGGGGAGTTTACACTCAGAACAGACTAAGATGGTATTTAGTCACACAAATCAAATACAAGTAGAGAATAATAGAATGTATAGCTGGAAGGAATTTAAAC